AAAATCCTTTCCTCTACAAATGCTTCACCTGCATATATTGTCGTCACCGAAGAATACCCGCTCGACTGTGTTCGGTTCAAGACATTGCTAAACGCTGGTCAGAAACAATACCAAGTGTCTGGATGTCCGGAACACTCATCGAGTTTGGCAGTTGAACATCAGCAACCTCAACTTCCAGTGCTGCCCCTACAGGACCGACCGCTCAAGAAGCGCCAAACCAAGCCTGACAAATGGGACTATGCACCGCCCCCTTCGACACCTTCACGAAGTCAGGATTTTTCGGGCAGAAGAAGTGAGCAACAGCCAGCGCCAGATTCGCCTCCCATCCTGAGAGATATCACACCGGTCCAACATTCAGAAGCCGGACAAACCTTGTCTAACCAGGTTTTCGATGGGTCTGGTGACCATTCCTCTAGTCCAGCAGGAGGAATTACAGCTTTGGCATCCGGAGACGAACTCGAGGGAGTCATTTCCCAATTGCAGAGATATAGGGACCTGCCATTGGAACGTGACGAAGACGATCTGCCAAGTTCGGACCCAGTCGAGCCAGAGTCCGAACGTGAATGCTCTGAGGATGAGCGCCAGAGAAAGAAGCAGTCTGTCACGAAGTCCAGCAGCAGGAAAGACTTGACCTGGGAAGATAAATTTGCCTGCTATAAGGGAGGGACGAAAGGAGGAGACAAGACCAATCCGAACAATCGCACCATCGAGGTCTTGCAACAGATGTGCGACTACTATACACGGACAAATGATACATGGCGCCCAATCGCATATCGAAAGGCCATCACACAACTCAAACGACAGCCCAATAAAGTTTCCACGGCCGAAGAAGCAATCAGGTTGCCCGGCGTTGGCCAGAGACTCGCGGACAAGATCGAGGAGATCGTCACGACTAATAGGCTCCAGCGCTTGGAGCATGCCGAAAGTGAGCCTATGGATGAGATTCTGCAGACGTTCCTCAAGATATACGGAGTGGGCAGCGTCCAAGCTAGCCACTGGATCTCTCAAGGCTTCAGAACGCTCGGGGACTTGAAGCAAAAGGCCAAGCTGACCGCAAACCAACACGTTGGCATCGACCACTACGATGATCTAAACACTCGCATTCCACGTTCTGAGGTCAAGCTTCTCGGAGCTGTTGTGAGATCGGAGGCAGCAAAGTTGGACCCGGCGGTGCAAATCATCATCGGTGGCAGCTATCGCAGGGGAGCAGACAATAGTGGAGATGTCGACTTTTTGATCACAAAACAGAGAACCAAGTCAACATCCGACCTCATCTCGTTCCTGAACGAACTAGTCCGTGTACTGGAGTCGCAGAGATTTCTCGTCGCCAGGTTAGCGAGCTCACGAGACGATGGAGACGGTAGCAAGTGGCACGGTTGCTGTGTCTTGCCGAAAATCAACGGCTTCAACGAGAAAGACTACCGCAAAATATGGAGGCGTGTTGATTTCCTCCTTGTTCCTGAAACGGAGTTAGGGGCGGCGTTGATATACTTCACTGGCAACGACATTTTCAACAGGAGCATCCGGCTACTGGCATCCAAGAAGGGCATGCGGTTAAACCAGAGAGGTTTATACAAGGATGTGATGAGGGGCCCTGGTCGGGTCAAAATGACCGAGGGCGAATTGGTTGAGGGCCAGGATGAGAGAAAGATCTTTGAGATCTTGGGAGTTAAGTGGAGAGAGCCACACGAGAGGTGGTGCTAGGTCTTGGAGCTTTCCCCCCGCGAGTCGTGGTCTCTGAGTCGCATCGCATAGCGTGGCGTTGGATGGCAATTGTTGGACTATTCCGTTCATTCTGTGTACCTCATGATCCCTAATTCAGGAGACATCAAGTTCATTTACATGTTCGCGGCCTGATGACTTGATGTTCGCTTGCCGGTGAGGAACCAAACAAGAGACGCCCCTAAACGACAAACGGACATGGGGAACTTTTATCATCCATGGAAAAGGTCTCGCTCACAGCGGTGGTTAAGTGGCATGGAACGGGCCGACAGTAAGGGTCTGCCAGCTGGGAGGACCGCGCAATGTGGCCAAAAAATGGGAAGTGGGGACTGGCCGATGCAGGGTGCAGGCGGTGACAGGCATGAGCGGCGCAATCAGCTTTAATTTTTTTTTCTTCCCCTCCAGTCGTGGCAGTTTCTGCATCTCAGAGGTCCAGTCCCATCCAGTCCAGTCCATTCTGCCCGATCGTGTAGAAGGTCTCCGTTCAGGCCCAGCCCCGCCAGCCGACCCTTCCTCCTTCACCGCGCGCTTGTCCGTGTTTCCTTTCCTCCTGAAATTTCCTCCTTCATCTCGAGGACCACCAGGCACATCCGCTTCCACTTTACAACTTGTCGCAGTAAAAAGTTGCAGCTGCCTCTTGTTCACCTCTACCCCCCCGAAACCCAGCCGAGTATTCACCATGTCTGGCGACCACATGGAGGTCGACGCCGCCGAGGCGAAGCTCAAGGCCATGGCGCACTCTGAGCAGCATTACTTCAAGAGGTACGTTGTTTTCTCCCCAGGTGATTGGAGGCTTTTTTTCTCCAGAGCAAGGACACTGTTGCTAACAGACGTTCTGCAGCTACGACCACCACGGTAAGCCTCTTCTTGCGATGTGCGATCGATAAGGGGAAGAAATTGTCTAACGAGAAGGAATGTGGAACAGGCATCCACGAGGAGATGTTGGTATGCAGCCCGCCAAATACGTCGCACAGCTAGCTGCCCCTCCAAGGCTGGCATCTGTGGTGAACCACTCGCTAACCCTGTCTCCCCTGCAGAAAGATGAGGTCCGCACACGCTCCTACATGAACGCCATTGTCCAGAACAAGCATCTGTTCAAGGACAAGGTTGTCCTCGATGTCGGTTGCGGCACTGCCATTCTGTCCATGTACGCCTGTTCCGAGACTGTTCCGCGCAGTTTTGTCCTCCCAACGAGCCCCCAGACTTACAGGTTTTCCCTTCGCGCAGGTTCGCCGTTAAGGCCGGTGCCAAGCACGTTATTGGTGTCGACATGTCCACCATCATTTTCAAGGCCCGCGAGATCGTCAAGGTCAACGGCATGTCCGACAAGATCACCTTGATCCAGGGCAAGATGGAGGAGGTCGAGCTCCCCTTCCCCAAGGTTGACATCATCATCTCTGAGTGGATGGGCTACTTCTTGCTCTACGAGTCCATGCTGGACACTGTCCTCTATGCCCGTGACAGGTATCTCAACCCTGGCGGTCTCATCTTCCCCGACAAGGCGACCATCTTTGTTGCTGGTATCGAGGATGGCGACTACAAGGATGAGAAGATTGGATGTAAGTCTCGACCACGACTCTTGGCAGGCAGACATAGTTGCCAGTCATTCATATGTCAGCCGCTAACCGCAACCTCCAGTCTGGGACAACGTGTACGGCTTTGACTATACGCCGCTCAAGGCCACTGCTCTCGCCGAGCCGCTCGTCGACACCGTCGACATGAAGGCCGTGGTCACGGACCCCGCCGCCGTTCTCACCCTGGACCTGTACAAGTGCCAGGTTGCCGACCTGGCCTTCGCCACCAACTTCAAGCTGTCTGCCCGCCGCGACGACTTCATCCATGCCCTCGTCGCCTGGTTTGACATTGATTTCAGCGCCGCCCACAAGCCAATTCGCTTCTCCACTGGTCCGCATACGAAGTACACCCACTGGAAGCAGACTGTCTTCTATCTGAAGGACGTTCTTACCATGTCTGCCGGCGAGGAGGTTGAGGCCAGCCTCGAGGTCAAGCCCAATGAGAAGAACCGCCGCGACCTAGACATCAAGATCGCCTACAAGTTCCCGACTGAGGACCCCACCCGTGCCGCTGAGGGCTCTGCCGAATACAAGATGTGCTAAGTGCCATCGTCACGGCCCCGCATCCGCTCGTCTCGGGCAGTCTGTCTTCTGGGGAAGACGATACCCGGGATCGCAGAGTTTCGTCGCAGTAAGAGCATTCGAGTGCTGAGCCGGTCCTCTACGAACTGTAGTGGGCATGTAGATCAACCCGGCCTCTGCTCTCCAGACAATGGAAAGCGACAAGCCTGCATTCTTTGCGCCTGAAACAAATAAAAAAGCAGAAGGGAGATGATCCAGCCTGGCTGCGTAACCTGCGCCGGCGAGGAGGCATGGCGCGGCCTTCTTTCCCAAGGATGCCCTTTTGTGTGCCTGATTTGGTTCTAATGAGAAGGGAGATACCGCCGCCGACGGGTGAGCGTGAATGGGAGGAAATCATTACATAGAGACCATGGCATTTACAATCTTCCACCTCGAGGAATAGATTACGACTAATGAACCAAACATCAACCTCCGCTAAACTCTCTCTACATTGAGTCCCCTCGCATCTACACTCCAACCAAATTTTACGAGGTTCTGATCATTGACAGCGGCCCAGTAATATCAACCCCGCAGCTTCTTCTGCCGGTGTGTAGCTATCTTTCCAAAACGCACAAGACAAGAGGACGCTAGGCGGCGATGGTCTTGAGGTTGGTGTTTTGATGCTCGCGTCTCGTCAAGGTAAAACCCGCAAGTAACATAGCCCCAACGAGCTTCAAGTATATTACAATGCTTGTTTATGTACAATACAACAACATTGCGTCACAAAATGCCCTGTGCTATTCTAACATGTCTGTACTAATTTATCTATGTGAAGCTTTTTGGCCGTACTACTGCTGTCATCGCACTCATCCACCATGCTATGCACTCGAGCCCTCTGGATATCAAGTCCCTCTAAACCATCCCCTTTTTTTCTGTTGAAAACCGTTTGCGAAAGGCGTGAAAAAAAAAAAACCGTAAGAGATCCGCAACTATCTACAGACCAATAGGGGAAAAAAGAAAATGCCTGATGACAACGCTGATGATGCACGAAACGAGACCATCCCCGCCGAAACGCCGGTCTGGCTGACGCAATTCTCTCAAAACGAAAAGAAACTAACGAGGAAAAACAAAAATGCCCCCCTCCCTTCCCTTTTCGTTTTCTACTTCTAAAAGTCTTCGTTTCCATACGAGAAACCATACTCATCACATGCTATTAGGGCCATGATTCATCCAGTCCTCGATGGTGTCTTTATCATGAAACACAACGGCGAGCAGAACCGTAAACTCATCCACATCTCTTGGGTCTGCGAGCGCCAGGAGACCGGAAAAGTCCATCCCGCCAACCCACCAAGGGGTATCGCCTTCACGCGATCTATTCCACCGCTCTGCTGTCGTTGCTGCCCATAACCTCGCCTGGGCCGTGAAGCTCATGTCCGAGAGGCTCAGGATTTGATGGTGGGCCCCAGCCCGGTGATGCCCGCCGCCGCCGCCACCGCCGCCCCGGGGCTTCCCGTAGCCCCCTCCTTGTTTAGCCGTCGCGTATACCGCGCGGACGAGGTGTGCCATGACGAGCACGCGGCGGATCGTCTCCGCCATCAACCAGCGGCGCCAGACGGCCTTCAGTTCCTCTTTGGCAAGTCTGCCGGGCGTGTTGGAGCGAGAATTGCCTGGCGAGAGGCCTTCGTGTTGATACGTTGAGGAGGACGATGAAGACTGCTGTGGTGGCGGAATGTGCGACTCCGGGAGGACGACGGAGGGTATTGCTTCCTCCGTCGAAAATACCCCCGCGCCAACGCGTGACTGCAGTGCGGACGTCCACGTTGCGAGGACAGGCTCCACAGAGTCCGCCAGCACGCGCTGACGGATATCGCCATCGAACCAGCGCATGATCTGATACATGACGAGAGCCTGTAGCGCCGCGACCTGTTGTGGCAGAGTCCATGTCGCCTGCTCTGGGACGTAAAGAAGGGAGGTCGCCTTGGCTTCGATGACGCCTAGCACGAGGGCGGCGTTTTCGTCGTTCTTGGCTGAGTATGCTGCGCATGCGCAGAAACAGTCTTGCAGAACTGGCGGCAGTCCGTCGGCGCCGTTCGTCGTAGGGAGGTAGAGAGCCGGATGTATAAAGGGGGCTACGCCATTCTGGCTGACCCAGCGCCGGGGGTAGTTCCTGAACTGCTCGCTGCAGTACGTCACGGTGTCTCGGGAGACGAATTCACTGCTCGGCGGCGGTAGCAGCGATGGTGATGGCGTCGGACCCGCGGCCGTGTTGTTATTGTTGTTGTAGAACATTGACCACGAGTTCTCGGTGTCAGGCACGACTGGCACCGGCATGATGTTTTGCAGAGAGTCCGGCGTTGCCGCGGAGCCGCTGAGAACATCGGTGAAGAAGTTGAAGTCTGCTGCGGCGACAGCGGCCTCAAGGGACGGATAGTTGCAGTCCTCGAACCCCTTTTGAGTGCACCGGCCACATCGTGGCAGCCGCTGGTCGCAACGACGCTTAGCTTGCTGGCATGCCGTGCAGGCACGGCGTCTGGTTGATATTAGAGGAGACGAGGAGCTTGAGGGGCCTGACATTGTGTCAAGTGACGGAGGGTGCGGCAGCTCTGGGGCCGTAGAGACGGGGTGGGTGGTCGTCGCCGGTCCGGAGCGGTAGCGGGAGCGGTAGCGGGAGCGGTTGCGGTTGCGGCTCTCCGCTTTTGGCGTGGGTGGAACTCCGCAACGGCCGACGGGCTTCCGCGTTGTTGATGTTTCTTCCCTCTTAGCAGGACTGAACTTTGATGATACCCCCGGGTTTTCTCTTGTCTGTTCGGCTCAGGCGGTGCTCCGCAATGCTTGATGGACATGGTGAGGAAGTCCGAGGAGGGGCACAATCAAGCCCGCCGTCGGTGGCGGTCCTCCTTATATGGAGGTGGGATGGGTTTGGGTGTGAGTTGCGGTCCGCGTGGGCTGCTCTTCCTCACGAGCTCGCACGCTCACACGAGCCACACAAGAAGACGTTTGATGAACCGAGAAGAAGATGATGGTAGCCCGGACGGAGTAAGCGTCTATTCAGAACGCCAACATCGGGAGCATGGCTGTTCCGGTCAGGTCATCGAACGTCGCTCGTGAGTAAGCGTGTGTAAGGAAGGGATTGACGTGGAAGTAAGGACCTTCGTTGCGGCTTGGAAGAGACAAGAGAAGGAGAGGAAAAGAAGAAGCAAACGGAACAAGGCGACAATGAAGCGCGCGGTACCGACGAGGAACAGATGCGCGGTGCGAAAAACTGTTGCCCTGATGTTCGACCCGGTTCCCACCCCAGGATGGGGTGTCGTTCGGGGTGGTGTGTCAGCTAGGCTACGTCTGGAACTGGGAGGCAGGGAAGGCGAGATCTTGCCCGATGGGTCATGCAGCTGAATTTGAGTTATGGTGCATCGTTTCCCGTCGTTGTGGCCGGCATCTAGCTCTCGGCGTTCCTGTCCTTCCTATCCCGTCCTGTCAACGGCATGGTTATTTACGATATGACTAGACCAAACAAGACACACAGAAGTGAGTGCTCTGGGCCGTGTGAGAGACTGTGTTCCAAAACAGGCAACAAACCAGAGCCCTGTCTGTGGCTGACAGCTTCACACGAGAGCAACTGAGCTCGACGCCAACAATGTTCTTCTTTTCCTTTTCTTCCTTTCGCCTCGCCGAGAAGTGTTGGCTCATCTGCATATGCATTGTCTCCAAAGGGACACACTACAACCACCGCTGGTCGCTTTCCTCCGACGCCAGCGTTCCCATGCCGCTGGTACGAACGAGTGGGCGAACGAGAGGGTAGACCGCACACCCAACCCCCGTCTGCAGACACGAGGTCTGGGATGCTTCTTTTCTCACCCCGGCATTCCCCATATGACCCATTGCGTCACATAAGTAATCGCCCTGCTATTTTTGCCCAGGCATTTTGTAAGCAACCCAGAACTGTCATGTACGTTCCGCCGACTCAACTCAGCCTTACGAAGCACGCACATTGCCGAGAACCTCTCACGCGCATTTCTGACAGGCGCCTGCCTTGCTGTCTTCTCTACAACTCCCGCGCATTGTCGTGAGTCCCGCATAGCTTGTCGCTTGATGCTCAGGTGTTGTGAGAGTCAGGTCGGTCCTAAGGTCCGCCTGCCATCTTCCGGTGCGTATGAGACAACCCCGTTGGTTAATCCCTCCATTGCTTGACCTCGTTTTCCCTGTTTGCAGCCAGCCCCGATGTGCAGATCCGAGTTGTCGGTGAAGGACACGGCGCTATCAACGCCGACAGCAGTGGCCAAGCCCGAATCGCAGCATATCGCCCGCCGACACGGGAAATTGTGACGTGGGTTGAAGCTATTCCAGCCCGACGAGTCGCGTCTGCGGCTACCAGCCACCGTCGCCCGGGGTCTCCCACTACGCGCGCTGCGAACCTCGTATTCCTATTTTAGACCACCAAAGGGCCCTCTAAACCCCATCAACGGCTGTAGGCAACAAGGAGAAAAACCAGGAAAGCTGCTCAAGATGTCCAGAAGCAGAGCAGAAGCACCTTGTGCTCCTATTGCAATAATCGACCGAGGCGCCGCCAGCCATGCGATATATTCTCAACCGCCATAAACGTGCCGGCCGCACTCGGAAGGCGGGCAGAGATCAAATGGACCATTCCGAGCGCAAGGTTGATAAAAATAGCACCGTCAATCGTGCCACTGCGGATCGGAGGCCACTCAGCACTCAAGGAGCGTACGCTCACGATCATATCATCGCCTGCATACTTTGGTAAGAGCCATTGAATCCAGTACCCTGAGTTGCGGCAGCGGTTCTACATTTAGAGATAGAACGGCGCTTGAAAGGTGGACCTTTCGCATACCTTTCTACAAGCTCCGCATCGTACCTATTTAATCACTCTGTCGCTGGTTCAAAAGTGATTGAGAGGGACAGAGTGAGAAAGAGAAAAAGAAAAAAAGACAAGCGCTGATGGTGATTGAGATGGACGCGATTGAATTCGCCAACTTGGAAGGCTGCCTTTGGCGTGCTACACCTGTCGGACCATGATTAGCGACTGTGATCAGAATTTTGTTTCGTGAACGCAAACTCAGATGATTGATGATAGCTTGCGCTTCCTACTGTCTCGTGCGGTATTCGATGGTTAGCCGCGTGGCATCAGACAACTAAGAATGACCCGGTCTGCCCAGAGGTGAGATGAACACAAACTTGCACGTTCCGATGTTTGCAAGTCAGATGCGTTGATGAATGATTGCCCCAATGAGCTTTCCAGGAGCAGAGGATCGCAGAAGCCTTGCTCAGTGAACGACTCGTCCATCGGCGGATTTGACGATGCCTTGAGTAGTGAATCCACTCATGCTGAATCTGGTCTCCAAGACTACTAGGTCAGAAAGCGAGGCCAAATATAACTTTGCAAGATTCCCGTGGATGTGCATCTTGGAGCTCAAAGAGGTGGGCATCTCTTTTGCCGCAGCACTTGCTGAAGCAGTCATGGTGATGTTAACTGTTATGCACCATGATCTTCCAATGTGGGGAAGCAACCAGCATCATCACCGTCGGATTCCTGGGAAGGGAGTGTTACATAACAAAAGTGCCAGTGAGAGTGAGTTGGTTGAGACCGGTTCGCAGAAGGAACTGCGCAGCCAATCGGCGTCGTGGCGATGATAAGCGACAAGCTCGGACGTTGCCTCGGGCGAGGCGAGACTATCTCCTATCATAACTCCTCCTTCCGCCCGAGGGCAGATCCGGAACTACGAGATATAAAGCTTGCGACCGAAGCCTCCCGAGGCTCTTCATCATCCACACTGCCACCGACGGAAGCACGATGCGACAGGGGTCCAAGGTCCCGCAGAGACGAGGCTCGTCTCCAGGAGGAGCACCTGGCACCCCCTCCCCCCGCCCCGGACTTGCAGGCGTGCGAGGGGAGAAAAAAAAATCGAGGTCTCCAGACCAAAGAAAATTGGCTGATATTGTAATTGCCCCTGGTGATTGGGCGCAAACCACGGAAGCAGGGTCAGGTAGCCCACGTTAGTGCAGACACAGGCACCGCACCGAGCCCTCGACCTGTTTCCGGCGGCGGAGCCGATGGCGGCACACTAACAGCAGGAACCGCATGCCTCGACCTCCTCGATGCCCGAGACACCTCGCAGCAAATCATTTCTCGCCTATTGCGGGACTTTCCAATTCCTCGACGAGGTAGGCGACGTAGTGCCTGAAGTCTGGAGACGGCATCACGGGGTCTTTGATACAGACGTGGTTCGCGCCCTCGAGTCGACGTAGGTGAGTGTCCTCTTTCCAGGTGCCTTTAGTGTGTGGCTGCCGTGTGGACGAAGAGCCTTTACTTACTAAGGAGACTTAGTAAGAGAGGAGCAAACGGCAGCAGTCAGGTATGTATCTTTTGCTCATCTTGCTGCGGGCACCCACAGGAACCGAGCCGGCTGGACGGGAGCTTAATGTACATTGGATAAAGTACCCATTCTCGATTGCCCTACTGCAGATGCCCTACTGCGACCACAGCTTCGGCGACATGACTCTGCCGCCTGCTGCAGAGGCCGCATTCGAAAAGTCTGAGACGCGGCTCTTGCGACTGGAACACTCCTGGAGTTGGTCTTCTCGAAGCCGCCGTCGGTGCCGTTCCGTGTGCTTCTCTGCATTGAGTTACAGCTGCCCGAACTCGACACTGCTTCGTCGCGATTCCCTCCGGCGACGTGTGGGGATGCACTTGTCCGCGTCGCCATGCCCCCTGTCGCAGTAAGAAAACGCCGGAGCAGAGGGCGGTGGTCGGCGTCGTCGGGTACTTGATAGCGCGCACAAGATGCTACGCCAGAGGTACTATGCAGTACTTGCATGGCCCTGAGTCCCAGGTACACACGTCTTCACACGATGGAGTCGTAGCCAGCCCGGTGCAGCATCAGCATGAGCATCAGCAGCAACACAGGTCGCAACAGCGGTGGCCCCGGGGTCGTTGGAGGGGACTGCCCCTCCTTCATGGGGGTTAGTCTCGTTTCCGGGCGGGGCCCACGGAGAGTCCAGTCTGTTCTCTTTTTTTTGTGATCGACCGTGTTCATTAAGGTCGGCCATCGGCCGGGCGGTCGGATGCGCAGGTAGGTGCTGTCAAATATGCCAGACTGTCAATTGAGTTTTGCATACCGCTAGCAACGAGGCAGGATGCAATGCGCGTAGGTTCGACTTCATTCAAGTCAGACCAAGGTATGGTGTAGGCACCGCAACGAGCAGAAGACGACGATGACGGCATCCAGGGCAGGAAAGTGTCCTGGGCACGTCCATTAGTGACGTTCGGTTCCCATCATCTTTCTATTGGCTGCCGCATTATTCGCTGAACACGTTTGGCAAAATGTGGGAGGGCACGCTACAATACCTGTACCGCAGCAGCCAACCTGCCATGTGCATATTTGTACACTAGGCAATTACCTGATTCTTCCTTTGCCGAAACCAGATACCAAGCCAGCCGCCACCGCGGCACAACCCAGACTCGAGTTGCGAGTTGTGGTAAGGTTGCTCTTGGGGGTACGGAGAAACCGGCGGGCTTGAGTCTCGACCTGGACGGAAACAAGGACATGAGAATCCGTATC